CTGCATTCACACGAAGGTTATAGAGAGTGTGTGCTTGGTTTGAATCACAGCAATTCATCGTTTCATTGGACTTGTAGTGATTCACCCCCACTGCATCACAATTTGATAAAACCTACATATTTGTTGCCTTGTGCATATTGTTTTTCGTTTGTTCAGCCTCACTTGTCATTTGGGCTAAATTAAACTATGGTATATAACTTCCATGAATCGTACATTCTTACATTGACAGAAAGAGGAACACATGGATTTGAAACCATACGTAGGTTAAACAGGTCCCTGCAGGGTGGGCTGGTAGGACAAGTCTCTGCGCTGTCTACTGCTGATTTTACACCCAACAGCACTACATTTCACTTCGTTAAAATTGAAAGGGGATGGACGGACGGGCGGACGGACACATTCATCTATTGCAGGCTGGTACACTCAGTTTACAACTTCGTTCCTACCAGTATAACATTGTCCAAACTATGAAACAAGGGGGCGTTTGCACGACACGTGATGGCGAGAGGGGACGATGTACAACAGTCAAGAATAATTACAAAGTGGCAGCCACCCAATGACGATTGTTTGTGTTGCAATCGAAACATTGTGATCTATTATATTTCTAACTACGTGACTTTACCGAAAGAACCGAAGAGTATGGATTCCTGCAGTCACGAAAGCTTCAAATCCAGATCACAACTTGCTTTTAATTATGTTTAAACTGGAAAAATTGCTTATTTTTATTTATTTTTACGTTTAATGATGAGATGGCCCTTTGGGTGGCAGGTTTGTGCCAGAAAGGCGCCACATTTTTACCAAAAATAAACTGACCTGGCTTGACAAATCAACATTCAATGAAAATATAAACATTTAAATGTTTTGCTCTTTGGTACAATACCTGCTGAACAAGCGGATGGCTTGATTAAATCATTCACGCGCAATTAGAGGACAAAGAAAATTAAATTTCTCAATCATTAGTGACCAGGCTGAGACCTTCAACTCACGACACTTGAGCACCCAGTTTAACCACGGATGGCTAAAGTCAGGGATATGTAAGCAGGGTTGCTATTACTGCCAACCTTGATTGCTGAATGATTTTAGTTAAGTGCATTCCTGTATTTCAATTGGAATATTCATATATCATTGTTTCAACAAATTGTCAAGTTTCAAGGTCTCGGTTCGATTTACAGAACAATGTTTTTTTTTTGTTATTGTGGTACACTTAGAATATGTAGTTGTGTGAATCTATAGAATGTTCAATAGTATAAACCTATAAAATCCATAGGTGGCATTAACCTATACAATAGTATTTATAGCCCTTTGTTATTCCACTACTACGTGAAGGCCTTCTCATGCCACGTCAGTCACTGGGGATGTTTGAGCATACTTCATGCTGGTCAGTGCGGGTTGAAGGGGGCCCAGGACTCACCACCGATGTTAGCCGTGGCCAGGAGTAGCTCCACGTGCCAGACCCTGGTAACGTCCCAAATGACAGGCTGTCTTGACTGTCGTGAGTCTCGTGCTGTTTGATTCATGCTTTCAGGGCGACAGGGTTACCCTAAATCTGAGCAACTCTTGTTCACCATAATATAGTCACACATGGGCAACTCAGCTCTGAGGCCAGGAATCAAACCCAGTTCGCCGAGTTCATAGCGCAATGCGCTCACCACCATGCCACCACTCCACCCGTACATTTTTGTGTTGGCAGTGGAGTCCAAGCATAAAGTTCACCCTTTATTTAAGTACTGTTCAAAGGATAATTTATTGAAATGTCAGCCTGCAACTATTTGTATTTTTCTGTCATAAAGCACATTCAGTGATAAAGGTGGCGATGACTGTTGGCTTATCCGAATGAAGCTGCAGACCTGTGTTCAACCACAGCCTTACAATGCAGAATAACGATCTCACTGCTAGTAATAAACGAGTCTGCATCACCACCACTTAACACTCAGCTCCCAACATTTGTATGTAGTGGTCCGGCATGCCCAGATGGCCACTGGCAGAGATTCACGCTGCCAAAGAACGTCAACAACAATTAACAGACACAAGCAGCTACATGCTTGGGGACCTAATCTTTCCATTCATCCACCCAGCGAGTGCCAACACTCAACGTTACGTGCCAGTTGTGTGTGTACACACACGGCTAAATTAATGGTCTTCACCGACTGATGAGTCTTATCCCCGAGTATGCTTGGGTTTTTTTTTCTGGGGGGTTTTCTATGATCCCAGAGATCACCGGTTCAATCCCCCAGTGCAGTAGTTGAAAGAATGGCCAAGTTTCTAAATTCCCCCCCCCACCCCAGTCATGAGTAATGGGATAAACTTTGGGTAGTCCCTCATCTACCAAGATGATTACGCCAGTGTGGCAGAAAATATGCGTAGTGTCCTCTAGAGGGAGCTCTCTCTCTTACATGGCCTTCCAACAGCATTGACGTGAACAAGCAATTGCAGGGTCGTTCCCTAATACTTTAAATGTAATGCCTTTTTACTCAATGGTTTTCATCTCCGTACATGCTGTTGTTTTGTCTCACCATATTTTACTGCTTGGTGCGTGAATTTCAAGGAATTAGCAGCCTTAGGGGAGGTTTTGAGGTTTCCAGACATGTCTTGCACCACAGCCACAATAAATATGTTTACGACAAAGCGACTTCACACTTGACGTCACAAGTCTAAAGGGAGGGTATTTTCCCCCATCTTCGGTAGGGACAGAATTGTTCGCTAAAAGCTTCCCCTAGTCCAAATCCGTGCGCCACAGGAAGAGTCAAGACTCTTCAGGCTACCCACACCAAGCGAATGCTAAATATTCCAATGCAAGCTTATCCAGTATTTAGTATATATTTACCAGTTATTGCACCTGTACTTTGCGATTTAACACAAACAACTACTTACACCACTTTCGTGACTGCAGGGATTCATATTCTTGGTTCTTTCGGTAAAGTCACGTAGAAGGGAAACAATAAAATAATAAAAATATAAAACAATTAAATTCTCACGACGTTTCGACTGCAACACAAGCAATCATCATCAGATGTAGAAACACAACAAGAAAATTTTTAAAAAGTTGCGGTTTTTTTAATGTTAGCACCACGGATAGCGATTTGACAGTTTGTTCAGATGGACGAGTCCATCTATGTTCGGAAAAGAGGAGGGGGGAGACAAAAAATAATGGATGCGGTCTGAAAGCCACCTTAAGCGTGATCAATCAATTAAGACCCGAAATGGTTTATCAAATCCTTCCAATGATTGCTAAGCCAGAATCCATTTTCTCGGTTGAAATTGTCTCTGTGTTTGTATATGTGGATAGCCTCATGAACCGCATTCGTGAACACAAAGCAGACCTGAAACACGGTAGGACCAACACCTCGGCCGTTGCCGAACATTGTTATAATTCAGTAGGTTCACATGACATTGATTTCTCCAAGACAGAGGTTATTTGCAAGCCATCTGGCTACCATGAGAGATTTGTTCATGAGACTATCCACATATACAAACACAGAAACAATTTCAACTGAGAAGATGGATTCTGGCTTAGCAATCATTGGAAGGATTTGATAAACCATTTCGGGTCTTAATTGATTGATCACGCTTAAGGTGGCTTTCAGACCGCATCCATTATTTTTCGTCTCCCCCCTCCTCTTTTCCGAACATAGATGGACTCGTCCATCTGTACAAACTGTCAAATCGCTATCCGTGGTGATAACGTTAAAAAACTGCCACTTTTTTCAAATTTTCTTGTTGTGTTTCCACACCTGATTATGATTGCTTGTGTTGCAGTCGAAACGTCGTGAGAATTTAATTGTTTTATAAATTTTTATTTTATTGTTTCCCTTCTACGTGACTTTACCTAAAGAACCAAGAATATACTTACACCACTATCAATTCAAATTGCCCATCCATGTATGACCAGGTAATGTTTAAACCACACTGCTGTAATGTGATTCTAAATCTTCACGATCATGATCATAATCATGATCTATCTACTGCTGAAGATACTTCCCCAAACCGTCAGCATCTTTCACAATCTTGCGTTGCAACTATCCACACAGCTTCATGCAAACGAGCTGACTTAATCACTCCATCTCCACCGACAATAGCCGTGTTCCCTACTTTGAATGCCACTCCACTGTTAAAACCAAACTAAGACAAATACCAAACAAAAGCTCATTTTGTGCTGCTGTCAAGCACTGGAGGTAATAATTATATCAAATAACTTCCTTATGTCTACCCGCTTAATTAAATAAAATGTTGAGTCCATCAGCTTATGGGTCTTCCGTACCAACAACATCCTGTGCTCTGAGACAATTGTGATGTTGTGAGTGCATGACAAATATAATAAAATATAATAAAAATTGAAGGATAATTTCAAATTGTAATGCGACACAGTCTCAAAGAGAGAGAAGAACTTAGAGGTGAGAAGAACAACAGACAAGCGGGAAAGGCAGCCAGGCGGTGAGTCGTTGCCAAATGCCCCCCTCCAAGCTCTGTGGTCCTCTATACATTAAGGTACTATTAGCCAATTAATGAGTGTTTACATGTGGGAGGAAACCGGAACATCACAAAATCCCCACGTGAAAGGGGGCCACACTCTATCCCATAAAGGTGGAACATATGGAGTCCACATTTGCTGTGCAGTCTTCTGACAAAGCCATGTTGACACCCACGGAAATTGAGTTTGACAACATCTTTGTGATCCACCAACCTAAAATATATTGTTGTTGTTGTACCCAGCAGCATCTGTTCAAACAATGGGCCAGTTTTGACATGATGCATCTCCAGCTACATGCCATGCGTGTGGTGGTACTGCACGCCTATGATTTAAAGGCAAGGGTAGGTGGTTCACGCACTGCAGGTCTGTGGGACTCTGAAACCCACTGTATGTATGTTGCAGTTCTTTTGCACCGTACGTAGCCAACCGTGCTCATCGGAGGTGCGGGGGAAGGACAACACTGTGCTGCGAGGTGGCAGCCAGTAGCTTGATCAACCGTTACATTCGTACTTCACACAGGTTCCCAAGTCCATACCTGCGGAGGAGCTGCCCGGCCTGAACGTTGATGTGGTCGCTCACGGAGCCTGCGAGGGTGACACAAACACAGGAACGTATATGCCTTAGACACACTTAGGTTCCCTAGGCTTCCGTAATCATGCCCCAGGCTTCATTAGCTAGACTGAGGCACATTGGGAACGTTTATAATTAGGTGTAAACGTCTGAGGCTCAAAGCCAGGCAGACAGCTTTAGGGTCTGTAAATCGTAAGAATAATATTAATTTATTTACTCAGAAGAGCCTCGCTAAGCCTCAAGACTAATTTTTAAGAGAGTTTTGCATTTGCTCTATTCGACAATTCATTTCTGTGGTGTTGCTGTGTGGGAGGAAACTGGAATGCCTGGAGGAAACTCACAAGGCAGAGGGGATAACATTCCAAGGTTTAGCAAAAATTGGGTTCACAAACCCACTAACTGGCTGTTGTTATCTGGTGGCAACCTCCCAGCCCGTAGGCTAATATATCTCAATCTGCCATTCCTCACAGTAATCACAGAAAACTAAATTTTTTTATTTAACCTGTAAATTTACAATTATCATCGAACAAAGATGGTCACTGCATCTTGCGCTTTCAGATACGCTTCTGCAGCCATCTGGAACGCTCTTCCTTCCAATATTAGGAATCCACTGGGAGCTCTGCACTTTTAAATCATCAAGATTGAACACTCATTTTTTGAGAACTGCTTTTTGTGTTTAGTTTGTGGTCCTTCACTCGCACCTCCGATTAGCACAGTTGGCTACGTACGTTGCAAAATAAGTTCAATATACATACAATATTTAGGTGCATTTCCTGAAAAAGGCGAGTGGGACAAAACGTCGAGATCTTCCTTTCCTCTAGGTAACATTAAAACAAGTGTTATTTTAATCAACCAGCTATTGTTTGTACAAGTTTACTGCAGAAAAATAATGTATGTTCATCTTCATCAGTCATGAACAATCTACTGCTGGATGTACATCCACATATAGTATGTAGTGCATGTGTGTCTTCAATGTCTTTCAGCATATAGGAGTATATAAAACTGCCCTGCATGTTTTTCCCCTTTACATATAAACGTGCATTCAATGCATGTCTACGTTTACCAAATATGACATCATTTCTAATCATACAAATATCAAGACGAATATGAATACACACATTCTTTCGTGTGCATTCTCCAAGGCAGCTGGTTAATGATCGATAAATTGAAGTTATCAAAACTCAAGTGATGTATTTTTAAAATGAGTATCGAGATGCATTTCCTCTCCTGTTTAACGTTGAGCCAGTGGTGGAAATTCCACATCCTTATGGTGGGAGGCTTGTGCAATCATCGGACACATATTGATGATTGCTTACCCACAAAGCGGTCCTTATTTTATCCATCTAGGAGGGATGATGGGCTGCATCAACCCCTAACCAGGATTTTAACTGGCAAACCCTCCCCCGATTACGAAAATCTCGCTCTACCACCGAGTCGCCCAGCTGGATGTTCAGTGACGAGCAAACTCGTCTGGTTGAAATTGGGCAGACACTAGAGTCATCTGATAGGCGCTATAAAGGCTGTCATCTACAGGTCAGTGTGGGTAGAGTCTTGGGTGTAGGTAGAGGCATAATTTCTTAAATCTGATTCTGGCTTACATGCGTTTCCAAAATATAAAAAAACATGTGCTATGAAGAAGGGTCATTGCCCGAAACGTCGCTGATTTTTTATTTGTTGGCATGTGTGTTGAGTATATTTGTTTATAACCACTATAGTATGATATTAATGGTTCGGATGTCAAAATACATACATTATAATTATGCTAAGAAGCCTCGATTGATACGTATGTTGAACTTATTTCGCGCCGTACATAGCCAACCGTGCTAATCAGAGGTGCAGGGGAAGCAACACAAATCAAATACGTACAAGAAGCAGTTCCACAGAAATTCTTTTCAGAGATATATGCATGCGGGGAATTACACTGAGTGACAGGATGAGGAACACATGTTTTATACAACATACGCGAGTTAAATACATTTTAAAAAATTACTCTAAGAACCGAAAGTACGATCGGGCAGGGGCACGTCGCTAGAGTCGCTAGAATGATGATCGATGGCGGGCGATTTCGGTTCACGGCAGCGCGGCACGCCAAGGAACGGGAACGCGCCCGCGAGGCTGTCCACCGAAGGCGATGGTGGTGGCAGGGTTGGAATGAGTTGGGAATGTTTTTATTTAACAAGCAAGGCCCACGAGTTATGTCGCCGTTTTTTTTTTAGAAAAAGCGACCTGGCCACAATTAATAATAGCTCAACGAAATGGCTCATCATGTGGAAATTCATAGCGGACAAATACGCTAAACGCACGTTTCTAAATGTGGATGGAAAACCGGAAGATCCGGGGAAAAATACACGCGAGTACGGGGAAAGAGAGATGGAGACACGCAAACTCCAAATTTACAACAGGCGTCAGGGTCGGGATCGAACCCACGACCTCCTGTATGCCAGGCGATGGAGTTAACATCTCACCACCGCGGCGCCCCGACAGACACAAGCGAGCTTGCGGAGGCCTCCATCCAGCAGTGGATTGACACAAAGCGATGCACGTCTGTGTTTACGATGTTGTTTACGAACTCTCACATAAACACCTCAACCCCCCCCCCACCACCACCACCGTATGTGACCTCCTACCCCGCCGCCAGACGAGTCCCCCTAGTCTCAGTCAGTACCCTCTCTCTTGTCAATGATCATCTCATCACCCGCAAAGCGCCTCCTCACTTTGGAAGAAGCCAAGCCTGGCCGATCACCGTGCATTACAGCGCAGCAACAATCCACGATACACCGATAACTTTGCTCCCTGGACCAGCCTTGCAAAGCGAGAGGTGTTCCGCCTCAATGGGATTTTTCCGCGTGAAATGTTTTCAAAGGGTGGAGAGAAAAAAAAGCCGCAAACGCTTCTCGCCTGCCATAAATAATCAGCGGTGGCCAACCTGCGTCTGTTAAATACATCCACACGCGTCTCTATCGAGGGGGCACAACGTAGAACGTACTCTCACAGGAGCAGAGATTAACGAATCAACCTCGTACGATATAATAGCACATGTAACAACACTTCGGCTCATTGCAGAACTCACGGGTTACTTTTGCTGCTTGGCCCGTTACAGGTCGGCCCACCCCCTTGACCCAACATGAACCCGCACTGACCAGCGATGGCGAAGTATGGTCAAACAACCCACAACGACGTCGTGTGGGTGGGGGGGGAAGAGGAGGAGACCATCATCCAGCAGTGGATAGCCAAAGATCCGTGTGTGTGTGTGGTGCGTCTCTGTAGACCGCCGTCTCACCTCTCCTCACCGCTCTCCCGGCTGAGTCCTCCCCGCCTGCCGTGGCGACGCCGCCCGCCCCGGCGTTCACCCCCGCCGCGTCCCCCGACGCTCCCTCAGACATGGCGCGTCGATATTATAACCTCTCGCCTCCCGTCACTCCACCGACGACGACGATGAAAGACGATGACGACGACGATGAAAGACGATGACGACGACGATGAAACAAGTTGAAGGAGTTTAGAAGTTGTTGTCGTCGTCGTCGTCGAGACGAAGCACTACGGAGCCGCGCACACGCACGCGCGCGCGCGCGAACCTCTTCCTGGGGGGGGGTGGGGGGGTGGTGTACAGGGCGGGGCCAACTCCGCGTGACGTCACCGAGAGGTCAGCGGGGGGGGGCAGCGTCTTAATAACGGTGACATGACATCACGTAGCGCGATGGAGCTCACCGATCACGACGTCGTGTTGCCCCGAGAGGAGTAAAATAAGGGGGGGCGATGGTGTTAGACTCGAAGTGCACCTAGCCTGGCACAGGCGCCGTGGTTGACGTTACCGTAACTTAGTGGCGAATGGCGAGGGGGGGGGAAGAGTCTTGACGTGACGTCATAGTGTGGCATCGTAATTGCAATTTTTGGAAGCGAAATTGTTTCGCAGATATCGGAGGTGCCTGAAGCAGGTAGTGTGGCCTCATTACGTTGGGGAATAATGTTAATAATAATAACGGCGACAATAATGCGGTCTGGAGACTGCGGTGACGCCTTACGAAGCAAAATTAGCAGCGACAACTTACAAAAATACAGCCATAATCGGTTCACAGTTGCAACACACACCCTCAATATAATTGTTCTTAAGTACAATACAACACTTCAGCCGTCGTCCAGCAGTGGATTGATCATGGCTGATGATAACAGTTTATGTACGTTTCTCGTACCTTAAGGCTTAAGAGAATGACTAAAACACATACGCACGTCATACATGTCAACCCCTTATCAACCCCAACCTTATTACACCAATGCAGACCTTATTGGTCACCCCGTGCCCTTATAAATCTCAACGTTCAGCCCACAAAGTCCCACCACAAGGGAGAAACACAAACAAAATATACAAAAAAAATGTTCACCGTATTGAAACGGCTGTACACCGTGTGGACCTGAACACTCAATTTCCCTCTACAAGAATGCGGATAAAACCGTATGGGTCCACAGGTATGCATACGTACGCCTCACGAAGACTTCTCACAGATCTCCAAAGTGGTTATATCCCGATATCACCGCGGTGAAACAAAAACTCTTTCTCCCGAGAGAAGCGTGCCCTGATCACCGTCCAATGTGCGTCCCAATTGCAGACAGTGCCCGGGAGGGCAGGCCTGGACATGCCCCGCAAAATGCCGACACTGCTTCAAGTCCAACTCCCGACGAACCCAGTCAACGTGCCGTTCGCCCAACACTGACATCCTGTTGGGCCAACGCTGGCATGCGGTTGGGCCAACGCTGGCATGCTGTTGGGCCAACGCTGGCATGCTGTTGGGCCAACGCTGGCATGCTGTTGGGCCAACGCTGGCATGCTGTTGGGCCAACGCTGGCATGCTGTTGGGGAAACGCTGGCATGCTGTTGGGGCAACGCTGGCATGCTGTTGGGCCAACGCTGGCATGCTGTTGGGCCAACGCTGGCATGCTGTTGGGGAAACGCTGGCATGCTGTTGGGGCAACGTTGGCATGCTGTTGGGCCAACGCTGGTATGCTGTTGGGGAAACGCTGGCATGCTGTTGGGGCAACGCTGGCATGCTGTTGGGCCAACGCTGGCATGCTATTGGGCCAACGCTGGCATGCGGTTGGGCCAACGCTGGCGGGCCAACGCTGGCATGCGGTTGGGCCAACACTGGCATGCTGTTGGGCCAACGCTGGCGGGCCAACGCTGGCATGCGGTTGGGCCAACGCTGGCATGCGGTTGGGCCAACGCTGGCATGCTGTTGGGCCAACGCTGGCGGGCCAACGCTGGCATGCGGTTGGGCCAACGCTGGCATGCTGTTGGGGCAACGCTGGTATGCTGTTGGGGCAACACTGGTATGCGGTTGGGCCAACGCTGGCATGCTGTTGGGGCAACGCTGGAATGCTGTTGGGGCAACGCTGGCATGCGGTTGGGCCAATGTTGGCATGCGGTTGGGCCAACGCTGGCATGCTGTTGGGTCAACGCTGGCATGCTGTTGGGCCTACGCTGGCATGCGGTTGGGCCAACACTGGCATGCTGTTGGGTCAACGCTGGCATGCTGTTGGGCAATCGCTGGTATGTGGTTGGGCTAACGTCGGCATGTGGTTTGAAGCGTTGGCCCGACGTACCGTGGTTTACGGAGTACGTTCTATATAATTATCTTAGGGCCCCATGAGCTAAATAAATCACACATTTCGTCGAGTGGTAAAAGTACAGCCCTGTAATTGCTTCAACACACCGCTGTTGAAGGGTTATGTATTTGGTCAACTCTTCCACACTGGCAATACGTAACGATTTAAGATGGAGAGTATCCTCACTTGACCCCCACTACACGCCACCTGCCGATAGACTACGGTGCAACCATCTTATACGTCCCCCATTGACCGATGTTGATGTAGAACTATACAATCTTACCTTCCAGCGGTTGACCCAGATAATTGCGTGAGTCGCGGACCGAGGTGCTACTTACTGGACAGAGATGGGGGATAAAAAAAACCTTTATAATTGTTACAAATTAAGAAGCAACCACTATACAGCTTGCTTTTAAATAAAGTTGTGGTTCCACTTAAAGGCCTTTGAATTTCCGCTTTAACGTTTGGAGGTGTATTCAACTCAAAAGGTGGGATAATTCAATCTACGGTATTTAATCCTTACTTGAACTCATCTAATTAGTGCATGTACTGTACAGCTCCATTGACTGCTGGATGAGTGTCTGCCCATCCCAATTAACATTGAACGTTGGGCCAACTACATGCCAACCTTGTCCGAACGTTGCATGTTTACTGGGCTGCCGTGTGGTTCATGAGGGCGACTTATCTATACGTCACCATGCTGGTTAATTGTATCGCGGGTTTGTGAAAACAGGGAGCGGAGACGTTGGGCACAATAGACTTTGCTGCACTACCCTCTACTGGGAACCTAACACTTGTGCAGCATTGCATTTGTTTTGGATACCCAAGTTATTGCAAAATCAAGGGTGTGCAAGCGTAAAGCTGCCAAAATGGTATGGTCGTAAAAACAAAAAGGTAATAGTCGTGCCATGTATTCATAGCTTTAATAACCCTTACACTCGCAATACAATAACTTATTTCTTTCACACAAATGTATCCAACATTTTGTTTACACATTGTACTTTACAAGCCCAAAATAATCTCAGTATTATTTTAAAAAAATATTAGAATAAAAACGATGTTGCAAGACACTGTATGCCCCTTGTTGATTTCAGGCTCCAGGCAGGAGGAAGAAGGAATGACTCGCACCTCCGATTAGCACAGTTGACTATGTACGGTGCGAAATAAGATCAACTAACATACTCCAGCACAAAAGTTGAGTGTGAAATAAATAGTACTACGTGGGTTGTTGCAGTTGTCTTCAGCTCCCAGCACCTAAGATCGAAGTGCACAAAATGCATTCCAAAGACGGAAGTGTCACAGTAAGTGGGCTGCGACGTGCTTAAACCGAATTAACGTCTCTCCTCTGTGAAACATGTAGCTTGCTCCAGCCTTACCCAGGAACTCACTGTTGTCGTCTTTTTCCAATATGTCCGTAATTACCCATCCCCTCGGCTACATTCGAAAACACTTAATACGCAGTTAAAGGCAGAACAAATATGGCAATGTCCTTCACAAAGATATATTTCGCACGTTTTCCATCATTTCAACCAAACCGCCGCACGCCTGCCCTCCGCCCTCTGCCACCTCGGCCAGTTCAGCTTCAGCATCAGCTCCCAACGATGGCCCTTGCACAACTTCGTCGGTCGTGCCTCCCTCCTGCCGAATGCTCGCGTTGCCTGCACAGCGGGCGCCATCGCCCTGCTCTCGCAACGGGCTCAGGTCACTAGGGGTCGAGCCCGTCGTCGGCTGCTCTTCCCTGGCGAGCAGGTTGTTCTTGCGAAGGCTGCAGGCCTCACGGTAGGGTGGGTTGATGGGCGGCTGCGTTGGCGGCGTGTACACGTACTGCTTGCCGTCCTCGAGCTGTGCGCACGTCAAGGTGGGCGAGCATTAACAGTTATATCGAGAGGTCATCAAGGCCCGATGTCACCGCACCTCGCTAAATGTGTTACGATTCGACCTTTGGCGCGATTCAATGAAGTGTCAAGATACAAGGTCGCGAATGAATTTTGAGAATTGTTTCTTTTATTGAATTTATATTTGGAATTTATATCGCAACTAAGTGCAAACACATCGAGTGAAGCAACTGGGGCCCAACATCATTTGTGGTACCGTTCCATTCTGCCGTTTTGCCTCATTTGTTTATTTATGGAGTAGGTCAATGGTTTGACAAATACACAAAACCGAAAACACCATCCTCCCCTTTTAACATGTTTGCAATGTACGTCCACATAGCCTGGGTGTGGAACGCAAGCTGTTTGTTTTTTGGACTGTGTCTTTCTTTAATAAGCATGCAGGTGCTTATCAATCAAGATGCTCGAGAACAAAGACACAGCAGGGGCTTCTGTGGGATAGTCACCGTACCTGCAGTGGGTAGGTGCGATCGGAGTCGTAGGCGCTGAGGTCCCCACATGCTAGGAACGGCACTATGACCCGGTTGGGTCCTTCCAGTTGGTTAAAGTCCACATCTGCAGGGAGATGCACAGGGGATCATTTTTTCTTAATATATCAAAATATTTCTTAATTTAAAAAAATCTCAATTATGCTGCATTCCAAACGAGGTAAAGCTGTCACGTCAGGACATGAAAAAAATTACAAGCCGAGCTCTTGCAGACCAGGGGCAGAGCCAGGATTTTGACTTTGGGGGGGGCTGACTTCAATATTCTGAGATATCCAGTGTATGTTTTCCAATGGACGCCACAAATGTATAAAACAAATTTTATTGGATTTGAACGCGGAGTTTATTAATAGGTCGGAGCCGGTGATGTGGCTAATAATTTCGATAAGTTCGAAAGGCTGCCGCTCAAGCAGCCTGCAGGGCAGCACAAGGTGGCAGCCAGCATTTTGCAGCAGCCGGATATCCGGTTATCCCGATTACCGAATTTTCCTAAATTTCAGGGGGGGCTAAGCCCCCCCCCCAGCCCCCCCCTGTAGCTCCGCCCCTGTCGCAGACAGCAGTGCACCACCTTTTATTGAAGAATGGTCGCTGCAAGCTTATGTAACGTACTTCAAGAGACAATCCAAAAGGCTTATTATCACACATTAGACTATGTATGTTGAACTTCTTTCGCACCGTACGTAACCAACCGTGCAGATCGGAGGTGCAGCCTATGATCTTGTGTCATTGGTGAAGTATTCCTTGGTAAAGCTTACATTTATTGTTGAAACATTGGCAGGAATTGTCAATTTTGCAATTTACACTTATATACTTTAGTTATTTACTTTTAATGAATTGCTTACCGTTTCTATACTTTGCAGTCCTCTCGGTTTTTGTTCTGACCCACCCATACTGAGCATCTGTGAGCTCATCGTATTCCTCCAGTCTAAATATTCTGATTCTGAAGAGCGTAACATGACAAACCCATATGTATGCTACAGATTTAAACATTAGTGAACAAAGTTTTGGGTTTTCGATACCTATGTCAGTATTGTTACCTTCTTAAATTCACAAAATACATTTGAAAAGGATTCTGGGTTGTTTCCATGATGCTATGCCACTTTTCTTTCTCTTTCATCATATGGATCTATTTATGTTTTTATTTTAGTCAGTAACTTTCTTTTCAGCTAATGGATATTATCAAAAACATTATAGGAGTATTTTAAACATTATCACCCGACTGTTAATTTACTGGACAATGTTTGTTTCAAATTCATCTTACTGTTGATTTATGGAAAAATGTTTGTCCGTAACTTGAGAATCGTAAATTAAACAAGGATGAGTACACGGAAGCTTTCCTGTGTACGCGGTCGCAATGGTACCGAAGGCACTACCGAAACTAGTATAAAGCAATATATAACAGGCAAAGTTACGTACTTCATCACCTAAATAAAATAACAGCTGCGGGAACAATCACGTCAAGTTGTGCAGCAGAGCCAGACTGTACTGATGAGTGCGGCAGAAAGATTGCAGAGCGGGCTCCTACCGTATTCATGGTCGAGCAAGGGGTTGCACATGTTGGGGATGTAACCTTCCGGAGGATCGTAGTTCTGGCATACCACAAACGCCTCTGGGACAACAGGCAAATGCAAAAAAATATTAACAGCCGCCCCGGTACTTGTCAATGCGTGGAAGTATGCATGTGAAAATTCACTCCCCTCCCCCGATATTCTATGAATTTTCATGCTTCGGGGGTCAGGAATCCATTCAAGAATCAAGCAATTTTTGTCTTTTCGATTAATTGCCTCAGAAGTTCTGTATTTTTATTCAATATTTTTATTTCATATCACCATCAACCTTGTTCTTTTCGCTGCTGTAATGAAGGCCTTCCCACATCATTACGCATGCGTGTAGTCCATGTGCCAAGGTATGGGTATAACCTTGTGCCTAAGAGAGACTGGAAGACGTCTTCCACCCAAACGTGCAAGCTCTTAGAATCGCCAGAGGACGCCATTCTTCAATTGTCACACACCGGTATTTTAGTGCATGTGCACGTATCTGTGTACAGAGATGTGCATTTTTATGTTCTTAACAGCCTGAGAATTTTCAAACAAAACAGAGGTTCCCCTAATGGACTAGACTGGAAGATTTTTTTACTGTTGTGTTCGTTGCCTATGACCAAATCACCCAGAATGCGCCGAATCTCATTAAATCTCAGAAACTAAAGTAGGTTTGAGCCACTGACCAGCATGATGAAGTAAGATCAAATAATCCCTATGACCCGCAATGCATTGGGAGGCCCTCATCCAGCAGTGGATTGACAAAAGTGCTGTACATGTTGCAGTTGTTTGTGCGTACTGTTGCCCTCGGTGCTACTGTCGCTGTTGCTATGAATGCTGCTGTGGCTGCTGCTCAAGCTGTTGCTCTAGATGCTGTTGTTGCTGCTGTAGACGCTCACACCTATGCTGGAGTGGCGGCTGCTGCGGGGCTTGGCACATGTCACGAGTGGGAAGAAGACCTTGAGCTGTGAGAAGAGCAGCGTCACATCCTTGCCACGGAAAATCTTCGCCACGAACGTGCCTCCCCGCTTCAGCACGTGGCTGGTGATATTCAGGGCCTGCGGTAACACAGCGGTCAAAATGGAAAAGCTGAAACTGGAGGTCTGGCTCAAGGGGTCTGAGGGATAGTAGGAGGTTGTTACTTTGCCAGGGCAGAGGCATGTTACTACTGAGATCCTGGGTCTAGATCCTGCCCACAATTATTAAATTGGTTTCTGAAATCTAAAAAAAGCACCACTTGCTTAGAGAAGCAATGATAGGTGTGTAATGTTGCATCCAATTAATTTATTAATATTGATTATTCTGCTGACTTGTGAATTAACCACGTATGATAATTGTGAGGATTGTGTTCATTATTAACTCACCGCCAGAAGCAGCTGTGCTTGAATGTACTCGTCGATGTCATGCAGTCCTGTGACTGGAACATAACATGCACAATAAATAGCCCAATTTACACGATCATGACGACAACAGATTCTTGCTCATCCCAATTTTTCACAAGTGCACCAGCGGTGCCATAACATGAGTTGGGAGAACTTTCCATTCGGAACTCTCGCAGAAAACAATCCTGGAATATGACGTTACAAAACTACATCTATGCCACTTTAATAACCGAATTAACCCAACTAGACACTGGCGACACACCTTTGATTTGGCATCTAAGGAATGTTTCTGGCATGTCAATTAAATTGAGAAGTGTTAATTATCAGAAGTGGATTAAGCCAAATGAAGTGAAAAATTATTTAATGAGGGGTTTTTTTTGTGCGTGCAATCATTGGTGACCATGCTGAGACCATCAACTCCCTACACTTGTGAAACAAGTTTAATCGCACGGCCGGCTTAGAGGTTCAGTGCTATAACACAGCTGGCTCATCTATGATCTATCAGTTGTTTTTCAACGTGCTGCATTTCTCACTCAAGCACTCAATCATACCATCTGGAGCTCCATCGCAGACCACCAAATCTGATGGCTGTCCTTCAAAGTGCTTGATGATCTCCTGAGCTGTGGAGACCTATCAGTAAAAATACATTTTGGTCACAGACGATAAAATAACCTCAGAACGAATAAAACATGCACAGTCATTATAGACATGGTCTCTCCCCCCACCTACAAATCCAGTGGTTAAATGTGTATTAATTTGTGTCAAGTAGTTTTGGCGTGATTAAACCTGCCTCTGACATATGAATACGGAATTTCCAACGCTGGCTCAGCTGCCAGCAGAGATGAGCCCTGTCACATTATAACTTGAGTAAGGAGACACTTTTACCATTTCATGTTTTACTGTTACTCATTTATACGATCTAATTTGTACTGTAGGCACTGTGTCTTTTGTACCTTTCCATTTTTATGTTGCACTGTTTTCGGCTATCCTGTGTCATTTGGTCATGAGGCAAACATTTCCATGAATTTCCACTTCAAGTGAAACATTTTTTTTTAAACATACCATTCAATAAGTGGTTAACTTGGTTTGAAATCGATTTGACTGAAGATATTGTTACAGGCCTACCACATAACCTGGCTGTCTGCTCACCTTAGTTATGTCTCCCTGCAGTTGAATGACACCAGGCAGGGGTGCCATGGCCTGCAGATCCACAGCGACTATTTTGGCATCGGACTTCTTCCCATCTTCCCCACTGTGAAATCAAGAATGACAACTTAGGCATGTAATGTAATGTACACATAATTTATGGTTTCCATCATTTGTTGGGTGTGGTGGCATTCATCTGTCACTGAGTGCTTTCGAGGTGAGGGTTGGTGAAACTCCTAAACTCACAAAACTGTCAGGTGGCCAGAAGATGGCAGTGCAGCAATTTAGTTCACGAACCCATCTTTGCAGGCGATTGAGCACATCCAGGCGTGGTTACCCACAGTGATTATTCCACTGCAGAGCAAAGATTATTTCAGACCTCTGTTGGGCGTTGACTCAGCTGGGGTGTTGATAAAATGAATACTGTCATGTGGAATATGAAGTGCTCAATCCATGGATACATTATTTGATCACGTTCTATGAGGGGCCATTGCCCGAAACATCACCTATTATATACTGTTCCTTATAAGGCAGTGTTATAGATGTTGAGTTTTTTTATGCATGGATAGACTGTCACCCACCTATGGGAATATGTAATTTCTATCACTAATTCAGGGTCGCTGATAAAAACGAGTCCTACCCAGCTTGCTCGTTTGAGCAGGGAAACACTTTGACTTACATGTCATTCAATAAGAGGTCATGCTAATAACAGGACCCTCCAGAATGAGACCGATGAGGTCAATTCACGTGCATGAGTAAGATGCACAATGGCATTGAAGGACCATCTTGCCTTGTGAGAGCTTGTACAGTGAGGGAAAAAAAGTATTTGATCCCCTGCTGATTTTGTACGTTTGCCCACTGACAAAGAAATGATTAGGCTATAATTTTAATGGTAGGTTTATTTGAACAGTGAGAGACAGAATAACGACAAAAAAAATCCAGAAAAACGCATGTTAAAAATGTTATATGATTTGCATTTTAATGAGGGAAAAAAGTATTTGACCCCTCTGCAAAACATGACTTAGTACTTGGTGGCAAAACCCTTGTTGGCAATCGCAGAGGTCAGACGTTTCTTGTAGTTGGCCACCAGGTTTGCACACATCTCAGGAGGGATTTTGTCCCACTCCTCTTTGCAGATCTTCTCCAAGTCATTAAGGTTTCGAGGCTGACGTTTGGCAACTCGAACCTTCAGCTCCCTCCACAGATTTTCTATGGGATTAAGGTCTGGAGACTGGCTAGGCCACTCCAGGACCTTAATGTGCTTCTTCTTGAGCCACTCCTTTGTTGCCTTGGCCGTGTGTTTTGGGTCATTGTCATGCTGGAATACCCATCCACGACCCATTTTCAATGCCCTGGCTGAGGGAAGGAGGTTCTCACCCAAGATTTGATGGTACATGGCCACGTCCATCGTCCCTTTGATGCGGTGAAGTTGTCCTGTCACCATAGCAGAAAAAAAACCCCAAAGCATGTTTCCACTTCCATGTTTGACGGTGGGGATGGTGTTCTTGGGGTCATAGGCAGCATTCCTCCTCCTCCTCCAAACACGGCGAGTTGAGTTGATGCCAAAGAGCTACATTTTGGTCTCATCTGACCACAACACTTTCACCCAGTTGTCCTCTGAATCATTCAGATGTTCATTGGCAAACTTCAGACGGGCATGTATATGCGCTTTCTTGAGCAGGGGGACCTTGCGGGCGCTGCAGGATTTCAGTCCTTCACGGCGTAGTGTGTTACCAATTGCAACTCCACTAGTTGAGAACTTGCATGGAGCCCCAGGCCGAGGGAGATTGACAGTTCTTTTGTGTTTCTTTCATTTGCGAATAATCGCACCAACTGTTGTCACCTCACCAAGCTGCTTGGCAATGGTCTTGTAGCCCATTCCAACCTTGTGTAGGCCTACAATCTTGTCCCTGACATCCTTGGAGAGCTCTTTGGTCTTGGCCATGGTGGAGAGTTTGGAATCTGATTGATTGATTGCTTCTTTGGACAGGTGTCTTTTATACAGGTAACAAGCTGAGATTAGGAGCACACTCTTAAAGACACCTGGGAGCCAGAAATCTTTCTGATTGAGACGGGGTCAAATACTTATTTCCCTCATTAAAATGCAAATCAATTTATAACATTTTTGACATGCGTTTTTCTGGATTTTTGTTGTTATTCCGTCTCTCACTGTTCAAATAAAACCTACCATTCAAATTATAGACTGATCATTTCTTTGTCAGTGGGCAAACGTACAAAATCAGCAGGGGATCAAATACTTTTTTCCCTCACTGTAGAAGCCTTCAATCAGCATTGGTCATACATTGGCTGAAGATGGTGATGGGTGATGATGAAATTATGTTTGTCTGTTATTGTATTTGTAAATACTTGAAAACTAGTACTGACCGCAGTTTCCGGCTCAAGACCTGGCTCCAGCTTCCTGGTGCTGCACATAGATCCACGGCGTGGCTTACTCCTGCGTTCCGATGCACACACACAAATACACACTGTACATGTACAGCCTATATTGTTAGTCCAATGCAGAAAGCAAGATAAGCGGTTTGTTTTATTGGGTTGCGATTTCCTTTAGGCGAAATACCTCAGCATTCCATTTTACACTCCCCATGTCCCCCACTCCCCTCCTTTGGAGATGTAAAAAAAGTATCGCAATTTCAAGTCATGAATGTTTTGGAATTGGATGCCTTTACGCATTATTTGTACAGTCTAATGTATGCCGCACCTCAGATTACTACAGTTGGCTACGTACAGTTCGAAAGAGGTTTAACATACCTACATATATAGTTCCATGATTCTCTATATTCTTTACCATATAATTTGCATATGCACCACAGGGTGGGGAATAAGTTATTTTCCCAATCATAGAAACATCAGGGCCATGTTCCGCAATAAACTTATTCTAACGTTGTTTTTTTGTTGTAAGTAAATCATAGATGTTTGTATTCAAACAATATTTTAATTCATAAATCAATTATCACATTCTCCTGATTACAAGACGCTCCTAAATGTAAGACGTACACCCTAACTTGTGCCTGGTGTCAATAAAGTTACTCAAATCTGGACAAATAAAAAGATCCCCTGGTATAGCCTTGACAGACTGTTGGGGAAAGTGCTGTTAGCGAGCACAAATCTGCTATCACACACACAGACCAACCTACTTTTGCTGCAATATTCAATATATTATGGTCGATGTAACAAACGTCCCCTGGGCTTTCAAAAAAAAGTGTTCTGAGACTTCCATTGTCTTTGCACTGTTCGCTTTTTGGCGTTCTCTCGTCTGACACTGGTGAGACTAGGCCATAAAGGAGGCTCTCTCTGGTGCAGGCCAATCAGTTTCAAGGACAAGGCACACAAATTATCACAGCATGTCTGTTTGCATGTTTTGCTACAGGTATGTGCGGTAAATGCAGACTTTATGCCTTTGTAAAAGGTACCCGTTAGGTGTATGAACATCTTGACATCTTTTTTATTTAAAGCTTTCGTGCCTGCGGCGATTCATATTCTTGGTTCTTTCGGTAAAGTCACGTTGAAGGGAAACAATAAAATAATAAAATATATATAAAACAATAAAATCCTTGCCGTTGGTTTTCACACCTGATGATGACTGCTTGTGTTGCTGTCGAAACGTCGTGAGAATTTTATTATTTTATACATAAATTGTATTATTTTATTGTTTCCCTTCAACGTGACTTTACCGAAACAACCAAGAATATAATATCTTGACATCTCTTTTATTGCCAGAAAGGGGGTCAAACCTATTTTTATTTTGTCATCACCTTGGAACAGATTAAATTCCTCGTCCAGCTGCAGGAGCTTGAACGCACTGCGAGCACGCCAGCCCTCCTCCTTGGCCAGACGGTAATAGATGTCTCGCTTGTCCTTCGAAGAGCGTCCCATGGTCTTGTAGGTGTGTCCTACACTTTGGAGTGCCCTTACTTTGACACACTCTCCTGCCATAACAAAAGAGATCATTAAGCACACGTTATGGGGGGGGGGGGTTGTTCTTTAATATTTGAATACTCGTCTGCTGTGTATGTTGTCGATACCGTATTGTTTTTTTATATTGTATTTGCTCTGCAATCGCGGCTTGCTTGCTAGGTGATATGTCTCAAAATAGGGTGTTGCTTTGTTCTGGCATCACGATATGTGTAACACTGGATGACAAGAGAGGTGCGAGTTCATGAATAACTCGTGATGACCACCGTAGATAACATTACAGCCATCACCTCCCAAGCAGCACGTGCTCCTATAATCCTAGACTCCGATTTTACCCACGAGTCCATTCGCTCTGCGGGAAAATCCCATTATCCGTAAACAAAGTTTCCCTAAATTATCGGTGTTTTGCGGATCACAGAAGTGGTGGGAAATGCCTCTCATTACCATCATTACCCCACATTTAACCCTCGAAATTATCCGGTGTCTCCTGGAAGCGTAACATTTTTTCAAAATCCGCGTTTCCGTTGGTACAAGTAACTCTGAAGCGGCAGATTCATCCTGTTGTGCGCGAAAAACCGCGCCGACAATACTGTGCCGGGAATAAGATAAGGATAAAGGGCTTTGTTTATAAATTATTTTGTAAATGATTAATTAAAGCGTTACCACACTCCCAGCCACCACCGAGTTCTAAAGTTACGGCTCTCATACGGCCCTGATTAATCAATGCGCTCGAGGGATATTAAATACATGAACGGTAAACATATATATTTTAATGAAAATACGGGCGGTTGTATTCGGGCGCTGTATGGGTTTACACTACTGTACTTGTAACAATCGACACAGCAGTGGATTGACAAAGAGATGCACACACAGTAAAATATAACGGCAATAATAGCGTCGATTTACGTGCATACGGTATAATTCGTAGACATTCTAACAGTGCTAAGATAAGCAAGGGGGTTTTCCTGACACGTGGGGGGCTTTACACGCCGGAAATCGTGTAAACATCGACTGCAGCCTTTTAAAAAAACACACACAACTAAAAACGCGACTCGTCGACTGAAAACAAAATAAACACATCTTTACCCGCACCCTTTTACGAAGACTTCCTTTTCAATCAGACTGGCTAAGCTCTAAACGAGACTCCACAGGACTGTACATGTTAGTAACTGTAACAGACACGTGGTCACAGACGTCACAAAGCAATCGACATTTAACGGCCATCTTACGTAGGGGAGGCGTGCGTATTGTGATGCATTGTGACGTTTTCACCACGGGCACGTGACAGATCCGCCCACTCATTCCCCCCCCCTCAAATCCCCCCCCCCTCAAATCCCCCCCCCTCAAATCCCCCCCCCCCCTCAAATCCCCCCCCCCCCCCCTCAAATCCCCCCCCCCCTCAAATCCCCCCCCCTCAAATCCCCCCCCCCCCTCAAATCCCCCCCCCTCAAATCCCCCCCCCTCAAATCCCCCCCCCTCAAATCCCCCCCCCTCAAATCCCCCCCCCCTCAAATCCCCCCCCCCTCAAATCCCCCCCTCTCAAATCCCCCCCTCAAATCCCCCCCCCTCAAATCCCCCCCCACCTCGCAATCCCCCCCAACCCCTAATCCCCCCCACCTCTCAATCCCGATCCCTCCCACCTCTCGATCCCAATCCCCCCCCACCCCTCCAATCTCCCCCCCACCTCGCCCCCCCTTACCAAGATGGCGACCGCCATACCTCCCTGAAACCCGTCACCACGCAAGTCTCTCTCTCTCTTCCCCCCTTACCAAGATGGCGACCGCCATACCTCCCTGAAACCCGTCACCACGCAAGCCTCTCTCTCTCTCTCTTCCCGCGCTTTATCGACGACCCCCACCCCACCACCACCACCCCCGAACTCTCCTTCACATTTCCCACAGCGGACGCGCGCGGGGCCCCACCACCCACCATCGGCGCTCACAATTCTCACCTCAACAATCTCCGCTCGCGCCGTTTTCTCTTCTTTCTCGCCGCCGTTAAAGTCGCCGGCGTCGTCGTCGTCGGCATCGTCGCCTTCGCGTTGTGTGCCGGGTGGCGATGGAGGCTCATTCTGAGGGCCCTGCGCAGACACGCGACTCCCCGCCCGGTAGCCAAGGCAGCACCGTGCTCGCCGAACTCGGTCGCGTCCTGGACGCGTCCAAGGCGCTGTGAGTGCCGACACGGGCCTCGAGCGTTGTGCTTCTTTTTATCTTTTCAGTTGCAGTCGCACGGTGGTGGTGGTGGGGGGCCCATACACCCCCACACCCCCCCCCCCCCCCAGTGATCTCTAAAGAAACCGAACGGGGAGGGTTGCCTCCGTTTGGTTTGGTTCGACGAGCCGCCCTCGCTTAAACCCGAGGCTTGAACGTTAAGGGCGAGTCACTGAAGATTTGTTTGTTTTAAAAAAAAATGTTTCTAGTCTCCAATTGGGAATTAACGATGACCCCCCCTCCTACTCCTCCCCCGCTAAGAAGTCTTAAATATACCCACTGAGCTGTGGGAATTAACACGGGAAGAGTAATAACCAAATGGTTATCTAATTCTGGCGCGAAGAACTATGGTTATTTGCGATTTAGCTTGGGAATTATAAAAAAAACGGAGTTTGTTTGGTTCTACGAAAAGTAGTACTTTTATGGGTGTCACTCGAGCATCGATTAAAACAAACCGTGGGATAATAAAAGTTATTTAATCTGTCTCCGAGCCTTGGGATTTAGCATAAGAGTCGTCAGGGTTCCTTAGCCTGGTTATGTGATCCTCAATTTTTAAAACAACCCTGAGAAACATAAATGTAACTTATTCTGCCTTTCAGAACCCTTAAACTATAAACATTCATTATTCCGGCTCCCTTCGAGCCCCTTGTTTTAATAGACCGGACTGATATGCGAGACGTAAGCTTCATAACATTGATAGCTCAATCACCGCTCTAGATATTAGTGGGGGATTAAACCGTGGTTAAAGCTGCATTAAGATCCCTCCGTACAATACACACTTGTAATGTACGGAGGGATCTTCATGCAGCTTTCAGGTGGCTCATTGTGCCATTTATCAAATTCCGTACATTACAAGTGTGTATTGTACGGAATTTTGAATCGGGCACCCGCCTACCTATATTTGTAATGTTTCCTGGGCTACTGCATGGCATGCCCGAGTCGTACGTCCCACGCTACGTTGTGGGTGCAGAAAATAGCATTGGTGTTATTACACCGTACTTCCATGTGCCCATGTGGTGTATGCGCCCCCACCTTCAGCCAGCACTGAGCAATGTGGTCAGATATTTTACACACCGTGGAAAGGCCCCACATCTAGCTGTGAATAAAAAAATAAAAGGCTGTACTTGCATATGTACGTACACATTTTGCCACATTACTTTGCCAACACGTGACATTTGTCTTCCTTGCAGTATAACTGAATATAATTCTCTACCCTTACACTTGGCAGGGTGTCGGAGTTAGAGACGCTGGTCGCCTTCACGAACCCAGATGGAGAGTTCGTAAAGTCCCTTGGACAGGTGAGCAGCACCTCACCGTTTGTACCCAGGAGTTGACCCATAAAGCTGTCCTGTTGATAACAATAGTGTTGTTGACCGGCTTCTCTTGTCTAACATAGGGTGAAACACTGAAAATATAGTTACATTCTGGTCTACAACAACATTCCAATGGCCTTTGACGTTTTTCTTTTGTCGCATCAGGGGCATGTAATGACTTAATTTGTATTTGAACAGAGGTACACTGGCAAATACTACCATGGTCGATCAAAACCAATGGAGTTATAAAAGCCCAGCTTATAAGTCAGATGGCTTCTCTGCGTTTACCTCCATTGTTGAGGCATTGCGTGATTGCCCATAGAGGGCACTACGCGTTTGAAAACTGCGGGAATGTAAAAGAAGATTGGTAATTAAAAGAAGGGCTTCCAAAACTATCCACTAACATCCACTTGATGTGAGGACACTCCTCTGCTATCTGGAATTCTCTTCCACTGCCCATCCAAACTGCTGACACCCTAAGTCAAGGATAAAAGCCTTCCAGTTATCTTTATTTGTTTCTTATTCACACCTATACATTGTCCCTTTGCCCTGTTGCCTCGTGTATTGTGCACTTTATTCTCTGCACCCCAAAAAATACTCTTCTGGGGTATGGAGGTGCAGTTGGATTTCATCGTCACCAACCGATAATTATCTGATACTGGATGAGGGCCTCCCCACTTGTGTGCATTTACAGGAATTATAACACGTTTTCTGCATGCCTCGGATGAACATTCACTTGTGCTCCTCATCACCCCTGTTGGTCCTGAGCCAACTGTGGAAATTCCACATTCTTATAGCTGGGCCGTAGCCAGTCTCAAACAGGAATTGAACATGCAACATTCTCAAATGGGGCTCCAGCACTCTAACCGCAGTACTATTTCACCAGTATGTAACACATTATTGACCAGAGGTTTAATGATTGTATCTGAAAGTGCAGCGTTTAGGCTTCCGTTTGTGGTGTTCATTTGTGGTATTGCAATGGTTCAGTGTAAAAAGGAACCATGTTCATTTTCACAGAATCTTATATTTCCTGCCACAACCCAATGCGAGCCTCCATATATTTTCTGTCACGATTGCATTAATAAATACACACCCAGAACAACCAACATATAAGTAGTGGCATTTGCAAGTAAAACATGAAGGCTCATCGATATATGTTTCATTTAGGTAAGAAGGAGGGTTTTTTTTTATTTGTGGAACCTGGGGTGGTTTCACAGCTGTAATCCAAATGTTTTTTTTAGGCAAAAGTTGATTTGAACACTTAGACTGTATGCTGTGAGGTGGTCAGATGGCAGTACAATAAGTAATTCTTGATACCCATCTCTGCAGACCTTTCATTGTTATCCCCTCATATGGGATTTTTCCAAGTACTCTTGTTTCCTCCCACGAGCAAAAACGCATGCATAAAGGAAATGGTTAAACATGCTAATGAAGTACATGTATAACCCTTTTTTCAATTGATCGATGAGGGCCTGTCCACACCATGTGGGTTATAAAGTGCTCTCATGAATAAGAGTCTTCAAAATTAGTAAGGATTAGGAATCCTGGATGAATAACAGACAAATGGTTGGTCTCATTTCAGGCTAAAGCGTCAGGTCACATCTGGAGAGCCCTCTTCCAGCTGCCTGTCGACGAGGAAAAGTAGATTTGGACGCATTTTAAAATGGCTGCAAATCCTCCCCAACTGGACTCCGAATCTAGCAGTGACAGTGACGTGGAGGATGCTCCTGTCGAGATCCCATCAAAGCCAAACGTCCCGTTCATGCTGATGGGCACTTCGCTTGCCTTCAGCTCCCGCACCCGTGGAATTTTTGACACTCTGGAGACTGCGGCCAAAACCTCTCTCCCCTCTCTGTCCAACGACAACCTGCTCGATGGCGAGTTCAAGCGACCACCGCCGGCTGCTCGGCCACCGAGGAGTGGTCGAGGCAAGCGGAGCTGGGTGGCGTCCAACGAGACCGCGGGCCGCGAGCCACGCACGCCGCTCGACAGTTTCAACAGCCTCCCTCCACCAGCGCCTGGTGCCACGCCGGACTTCCAGGTCAACCCATCACGCTGGACGCGCTACTCGCTAGAGGATGTGGAGGACGACAGCACCAACGTGTCCAACGCCTCGGTAGCGCACGCTTTTCTGAGCGAAATGCGCGGGAGAAACGCGCACGCAAGGGGTCAAGGGTCAGGAATGACCGACGACGGTGATGGAGAGATCGCGTTTAATCAACCACTCACAGGTGATGCTTCCAAAAGGATCAAGTTCTCCAAGCCAATGAGGGAGCAGGAGCCAGCGGAGCATCAGAAGGGCTCAATTGAAGCAGCCAATGCAGGGGATGGAGGAGGCACGTGGGAGCCAAAGGGGCACAGTGTGGGATCGCTGGGCGTTGGCGAGTTTCCAGGGAGAGGAATTACTCTGCAGCATTTGGGCGATATGGAAAGCCACATGGCAGAAGAGGAAGATGCAGAGGACAGTGGAAAGAAACCCAAAAAAGCAAGTGGAACGGGAAGCGGGTTGGCACCATCTGCGTTCCTCACGAGCAAAAAGAGGAAGATTGCCAACATTCGTGCCAAAGAAGGCTCGGATAGTGATTAAGATTGTGCAAAGAAACAATGCATTTCATTGGCTTTGTTTTTGAGTGTTTGGATTATCATCCGCTTTTCTGTTTGTTTTTCCAACTTAATTTAGCCTTGGTGTCTCCGATTTATGGAAACG